CTATTGTCTACAGAAATATTCCTGAGGGACTGACTAATGAGAAGTGGTTGGGACTGGAACAGGAAGGCATAGCTGAAGAGAAGGCAAGAGAAAAAGGAAACTGCGGGATAAGAAAAAGAAGAAGAACCCCTAAAAAATTCACAATGTAGTGTTTAGAAAAAGCTTTCACAGACCTCAACAAGCTTCTTTAAAAATTTGAAAACAGGACTCCTTAGCACTAAAAGTTTTAATTAATAAAGAAGGATTTTCATGTTTTATTTGCTTCAAGAACTTCTATGATTTTTAAAAAAAGAAAGAAACTAAGCAAACCACTGTGGACATATTTCTGAAAAGAGTGGCACTTCCTCAAGAAGAGATTCAGGTGGGTCCTTCAGGAGGAATTTCAGAAGATGGCATTGTTATCATAGGAGATGACAGCCCCCTGAAGACCTTGGGACAAGATTCAGTGGTGGAAGACAGTGATAATTGATGATCCTGATCCTATGTAGGACTAGGCTATGTGTGCCTGTGTCTTCATTTATAGCAACAAGAAAAAGTTTACAAAGTAAAAAATAACATTTAGAAAAAGCTTATAAAATAAGGATATAAAGAAAGAAAATATATTTGGACAGATGTGCAGTCTTTATTTTAAGCTAAGTGATATTATAAAAGAGTCAAAAAGTTAAAAAAATTTAAAAGTTTACAAAGTAAAAAAGTTATAGCAAACTAAAGTTAAACTATTATTGAAGAAAGAAAAAAATCAAATAAATGTTGTGTAGCTTAAGTGTACAGGGTTTCTAAAGTCTATGTAGAACGTAGTAATGCCAGTAGTGTTACTCACCATTTATTTACTGACTCATCCAGAGCAATTTCTGCATGCTCCACTAATTGTAAATGTCCTATACGAGTACTATTTTTATACCATATTTTCACTGTATTTTTTTATGTTTAGATATACAAATATTTACCATTGTGTTACACTTGCCTACAGTATTAGTACAGTAAATTGCTACACAGGTTTGTAGTCTAGGAACAACAGGTTATATATACTATATAGCTTAGGTGTGTAATAGGCTATAGTATCTAGGTTTGTATAAGTACATTTTTTAATGTTTGCACAATAAGGACTAAAGCCAATGACCATCAACCAGCAGGAAAAGCACCTCAACCAGAGAACAGCCCTAGGACCATACATCCAGCCACCCATGAGGTTTTACCAGATTCTCTCTGCTTCCATGCAACATCTTGGAAAGGAAAAGGGAGAAGGTAGATTCCTTGAGAAGTGGGTTATCGTCTGAGTTATCACCCACAAAAGACTATTCAAGAAGAGACTAAGATGTTTTAAATAAAAGTTTTAAATAATTTCTGAAAATCACATGAATGTGTGCTTGAGAGAACAATGTAATCAATTTTAAGAAAAGTTTGCTTTACATTTTGTACATCTAAGTCATAGTGCCTGCATTGACTTGAGTATGAATAATCCTAAAATGCATAAATATGAAAACGTAAGCAAAATTTAAGTAATCTATTTATAATAATACTTTAGAGATACTAAGATTCATTTATAGTATTCCTTTCTATTTTTAAAATATTTGAAAATTTGACACAAACAAAATAATATGAGTACTATCTCAAAGAAATCATATCAGTGTAAGATAATTTAGAGAAAAAAAATATATCTTTGGATAAAAACATTCAAAAAAATAAAATAAAAAAATAAATGTTTGCACAATGAAGAAATCACCTAATTGTGCTTCTCAAAACATTTCTCCAGTATTAGGTGATGTAGTACTTATTTTTATACTTTTGTCTTTTAACTTCCATAACCAGAATTAAGTTATTTACTCCACCATTACAGTATTCTGTATTTATCTATATATATTTACCTTTACCGGTAAACTTTAGATTTTCATATACTTTTGTGTTACTGTTTAGTATCCTTTAGTTTCAACTTGAAGGATTTTCTTTAGCATTTCTTGTAAGGCAAGTCTAGTTAACAAACTCCTAAGCTTTTGTTTACCTCAGAAAGTCTACATTTCTCCTTCTTTTTTTTTTTTTTTTTTTTTGAGTTGGAGTCTCACTCTGTCGCCCAAACTGGAGTGCAGTGGCCGCTCCCAGCCACCACAGCCTTGACCTGCTGGGCTCCGGCAATCCTTCTGCCTCAGCCTTCCGAGTAGCTGGAATTACAGGCACATGCTACCATGCCCAGCTGATTTTTTGATTTATTGTAAAAACAAGGTCTTGCCTGCCCAGGTGGGTCTCGAACCCACGGGCTCAGGCAATCCACTCACCTCAGCCTCCCAAAGGTGCAGGATTACAGGCTGAGCCACCGAGCCCGGCTCTCCTTCATTTTAGGATAGTTTTGCCAGATGGTATTCTTGGTTGGCAGTCTTTTTTTGCTTTGGCATTCTGAACATATCAAATTCACTGACAGTCTTTTTTTTTGTAGAGATGAGGTCTCACCAAATTGCCCAGGCTGGTCTCAAACCCCTGGACTCAGGAAATCTGCTCACCTCGGCCTCCCAAAGTGCTGGGATTACAGGCTTGAGCCACTGTGCCTGGCTCACTGACAGTCTTATAAAGGTTATGAGAAATGTGCTGATAGTCTTATGAGGTCTCCCTTGAACATGAATAGTCTCTTTTCTCTCACAGCATTTGAAATTGTTTTTGCTTTTTGATAATTTAATTACAATGTGTCTGGGTGTGAATGTCCTTGGAGTCTTTATGGTTGGAGTCCATTGGGCTTCTTGAATCTTCTGTCCATTTTCTTGCCTGATTTCAGAAGTTTTCTCTCTCTCCTCCTTCTCTCTCTTCTCTTTTTTGAACTCCCATAATGCATATATTGGTCCACTTGACGGTATATTATAAATCCCTTAGGCTGTCTTCATTCAAACTCTTGATTTTCTCTTTGTTCCTTTGTCTGAACAATTTCAAACTACCTGCTGATTTTTTTTTCTGCTTGATCAAGTCTACTGTTGAACCCTTCTAGCAAATTTTTTAGTTCAGTTATTGTATTCATCAGCTCCAAAATTTATATCTGGTTCTTTTTTATGTTTTCTTTCTCTTTGTTGATATTCTCATTTTGTTTATCAATTGTGTTATTGAGCTCACGGAACATTTTATTATGGCACTTCAATTTCTTTCTTGTGTTAATTCATATACCTTTGTTTCTTTGGGATCCATTTCTGGAGATTATTTTGTTTGGGCCATGTTCCCCTACCTCTTTGTGAGTCTCATAACTTTGTGTTGGGATCTACATATTTGAAAAATAGCCACCTCTCCCATTCCTTACAAACTGACTTTATACAAGTGAAGATTCTCTCCAACCCATTCATATAGAGATTCAAGGACCCTCTGAAAACATTTGTGGGAAGATGTAACTCCTCTACCTCTATGTGATCAAGTTTTTTTTTTTTTTTTATTGTAGAGATGCGGTCTCACCAAGTTTCCCAGGTGGGCCTCTAACCCTTGGGCTCAGGCAATTCACTCACCTCGGCCTCCCAAAGCATGGGATTACAGGCTGAGCCACCGAGCCCGGCTCATGTTTTCAATTACAGAGGCTTGCTGGGTTTTTAGGAGTTTGTAATCTCTTGCTCCCTCTGGTGTCTTTCTCTAGTACTGCAAGTTCTCTGGTTCTACATGCAGCAAGCCACCCCATTCTTCCTTGTTCTCAGTGGCCACCAGACATCCAAGGTATGCCAGCTTATCAGTGTTCTGAGTCAGGCAAGACAGATACCAGTCCATCAGGCCTCCCTCCAAAAAGCTGGAATGCTGTACACTCACTGTTGTGTACTTTCCCCTGATTGTACTAAGAAGTGCCAATTGCAGCAAGCTACCCTGTGCTCTTCTTTGTTCTCAGTGGCTCCCAGACATCCAAACTATGCTAGTCCCATCAGCACTTCATATGAGGTGAGACAGAAACCAGTTCCTCAAGCAGCCCGCTGAAAAGCCAGAAGATGGGATGCATGTTCCACCCTTTTCTTTCCCCCACAAGAGAGAAGGCATAAGAAAAAGCATTCTCTCCTGGCACTGAGTTACGCTGAGTTGGGGAAGGGGCTAATGGAGGTAAAGTGAAATTGCTTCTCTTACTTGTTTCAACATGACTGCTATCAGCTCTGTGCTCACCTGGGGGTACTGCAACTTTTTAACTGAATTCTGTAATTCTCATAGAGGTATTTTGGTTTACATAGAGTTGTTAAATCAGTGTTTCTGTGGAGGAGCAATGGCGAGGACTTCCTGTTATGCCTTCTTTCTTATATTGAAACTCACATGGGCTTTCATTGTATCATTATTCTCCTTCAAAACTGCCAATGCCCCTCCACTGTCGGGAAAATTAGGCATTAGTGCATTCTTCCACCATATAATGGTCCTAACCTAATTTTCCAGGATCATTTTCTATCTACAGGCATCCTCTACTACAACCATACATCTTCTGTCAGCTTAATACTGTTTCATTACTCTGTCTGCTCCCGTGGTTCCTTTCCTATACTCCAAATATCCCCTGTTTAAAATTCTGTCTTCTTTTGAGATTCACACCACATGTCAGACTCTACAAGAAGCCTTCTCAGTTTGGCTCAACTAGAAAAATCTCTCCTGATAAACACCACAATGCTTTGGTTGGTGTTTATCTTATCTTATTCGGCCTTATTATGTTATAATTATGTAAGCCCTTGCTTTGTGAAATTATCAGCACCTGGAGAGCAAGGACTCTGTATGTGACACTGAACAATAGTTAACTGTGTATCCCTTTACTTCCATGTAGAAGGTATTCACTTAATTCATTAAATTGAATTCAGAAGGGCAGAAAGAGGCTGTCCTCTACTTGGTACTCCAGGATGGCTTCCCACTCTAGTCCCTCCACTATCCTCTGTTTAGCGCATCCTGTTCTAGCTGGAAGGCTCGAGAAAAAGCAAATACTTAGCTTTGAACACTATTCAATACCAGATTTTGGGTATCATTCAGAGCATCCTTAATAGAACAACAAACATCCTGTGAAATCTGTAATGAGAAGTCAATGATACCTTGCCTTCGGGATCCACCAGAAGAAGATGTTTTGCCTGGCCTCCTTGAAGTCCACTCAGCACATACTGGCCAGGGGATGTTGCACTCTCTCGAACCAAAAAGTCCCCATCCTTTACCAAGAGGCTCTCTGCTGCCTTCCTGCTCAGCTTGCCATGGTAGCATTCTTCATTCCACAGCTGCTGCTTAATGTGTGGCAAAGAATGTGAGCTGGCAGGCTGGGCTGTGGCGCCCGGCTGAACAGTTTCTGGTGCCTCTGAAGTCAGAACACAAAGAGAGACAACTTGAAGTTCCTCATTCATTTGTTCATTCGTTCACTCAGCAAATATAACTTGAGACCCTACTATGTTCCAGGCATTGTTTAAATAACACTATTTCTGGAACAAATGATGCTTTTGTTTTCAGAATTTCGAACAGACTCTAATTTAATGGTAGATCCAAACATTGCCTTTGGCTTCTGTTACCAGGGAAGGCTTGCCCAGGTGCAGGTGTTTTTCTTTCAGATGTGAAATGGAATCAACCCATGAGAACTGCTTTTATAACTGCAGAGAGAGGCTCTTTATGTCCCAGGGGCTGCATGTTAAAGAGAAAGAGTACCTGAATTACAGATAACTTCTACATTTTCCAAACTCTTTGAAAATAGCTGTAGTAACTTTGGGCTATGTCTACTTTTTAGTATTCAACTTTTTTTTTTCTTTCTTTAAACTAAATTACTAATGAGCTTCTAGACATTCTTATTACCAAAAACTTCAGAGCTTTGCTAAGTCTCATAGCATTCCTATTAAATGACCACTCTTGTTTGTGTCATTCACCTACCTGGACAAAACTAGGTTGATGAGGTTAAAAAAAAAAGACAATCAGAGAGCCATGACCTGAGTCAGCTCCCCAAGACATAGCAGAATAAGTGTTGTTCAGTGTTGAAAGAACTGGGAATGAGAAGGTATATCCAGTTAGCACCTAATAGCACTATTGTTACTCATAGTGATAGTAATTATTGTGTAGTTCCCATTTATTGAGTAGGAGAGGAACTGCTAAAAATTTTATATATATTATATTGTTTAACTCTCAGCATCAGGCCAGGAAATTGATCTTTAGAAAGGTTAAGTGACTTACCCAAAGTCACACTGCTAATACATTTAGATCTGGAACTTAAAATGAGGTCTATTTGATTTCAGAGCCCAAGTTCTTAATCACCAAATTCTAAGCTCCTTGCCTTGGACGAGAAAATCTTTTAGTGTTCAAAACAAGTCTAGCTATTCTACTTCTGAAGTATCCACAAATATCACTAGTAGATATCAAGGCTATTAGTATGATATACAACACCTCCAGAAGTAATAACATAAAATTCTTATGTCTGAATCTGGGTAAAAGTTGTATGCTTAATGTGTCAAATTTATTAGAAAAATAACCATAGACACTAGAGTTTGTCTTTTGAAATGTAAAGGATATTTTGCATAGAAACTAGCCTTTATCTTTATTAATAAACAGAGTGTTTGCATGTCCTTATGCATGGGTCTCTCAAACGAGAAATTCTCTTGACTTAGTTTCACAGCATACACATGATGCTCCAATGAAATCACTGATGTAGGCAACCAGTGTCCTGTAGACATCATTCAGTTATTCTAGTAATACATTGTAGTTTTGTCCCTACTTAAGGCCTCCTTTCTTCATAACACAGCTAAGATGTATTATTTACAAACACATCTTTTAAAAAAATACCTTTAGTCTAAATCTGATGGCTAGATATATTCTCCTCTACCATCAAGTCTTTCTATTGTTGCTACAAATGGCCTGAAAAATGTGTACAAATTTGATGAATTACACTTGTATTTGGCTTTAGCGCTGCCTGCTTTCAGGTACAATGGAGAACTTCTAATGAATAGTTGTTTGTGTGTTTGTGTGTGAGAAAGTATTTGTGTGAGTGTGGGAGGGACATATGCATGTATGTGTGTGGCACACATATCGTACTGCATGATGATTTTTAGTTTATTCTGAGACTATGGTGAAGAGCTTTTGGACAAGGACAGAACAAATGAAAAACAGACATTATATCATCTTGAAAAGAGGCAGCAGATCGTGGGCCAACCAGAGGAGATGGACAATGTTTTCCTGACACAGTTTCCCAAATTAGCACAAGGACAAGATACATTTAAACATTTGCTAAATGTTTAAAGTTAAACAATATAATAAATGTAAATCATTTAAATATTTGCTAAAAATCAAATGCTGTTAAAAGCAGAATTTATAACAATTTAAAATTTTTGTTTTAATTTTGAAAGTTATGCGTGCTAATTTTTTTACATCTGGGAAGTACAATTAATCATCTATGGCTTCATCACTAAATACAACCACGGTAAACATTGGGGTATATTATCTTTCTCCTTTTCTTATATAAAGGTGACTTTGAGAATGATAAAAACAATTTAAATATGACTATTTATATACGAGTTCCATACACTATTTAATAAACTATTGGATTGATATCGTTAATATATTTTCTCAGAAAAAGTAGTGAAAGCTAAGGAAGCAACAAGGAAGACTAATCTAGATTTAACTGAGATTCCCCCGAAAGTGATAGACATTATGGAAGAAAGTAATCATATTCTCTTGGAGTTCCTATTATCATCTAAAAACATATTGTTCACAATCAGAACTTTAAGAAAGCACAGGATCCGGCAACCCCCTGAGGTCCCTTTCCACTGTGGGAGCTTTTCTGTCCTCTCAATAAATCCTGCTTTCTAAAAAAAAAAAGAAAAAAAGAAAGAAAGCACAGGATAGATATAGATATGTACACTCATATCTATCTTATAGGAAAAACTGCTAAAAGGGGGAATACAGCTTTAAAAAGTGGGGAAAAAACTAACATACAAAATCTAGATTAAATAATTGCAAGTAATCCCAAGGAGAAAGGAAAGGATGAGACACTTAAAAGAAACCAATGCAAACTGAAAGAAACCATGGCACACTGAAGAATTCAATTTTTTTAAAGCACATGGAAAATGATTTTTATAGTATTAAGTACTATGTGGGCAAAGAATTGAGAAAAATTGAGATGCCCATCAATAAGGGACTGGTTTCATAAATTATAATGGATTCATACATTATAGGCCAGTTGAAAATAAAGATCATGTGTTAAAATAGACAAATCTCTAAAACAGAAGAGTAAAACAAGCAAGGATAGAAAATGTTCATTATAACTTTCATTTTTTTTAAAGAGATAGATTAGACAGACAGACAGATAGATGGATGGATGGATGTAGAAAGACACTTAATTGTATATTAACATTCTGGAAGTAGTAAAAAATTTGTTACTATCTAAGGAGTTGGATATATTATTGGAGTATGGAAAAGGACATTCATTCATTTCATTTTATATAATTCTTTATTATTTGAATTTCCTTTGTGAGCATCTGTATTATTTTTTAATTTTTAAGAACTGTCTAGAGAATAAAATGTATACAAAAGTCAGGGTAGCAGCATAACTAAGAATTCAATCAGAAGAAGGATATAAGGTTATGAGAAGAGTGTAAAATTTGGGGAACAATCCTCAGTTTTCTGAAGCCTATCCTTTCTCCCCACAACATGTTCTAATGACTCCTTCTTTCTATTCCCGTTTTTCACTGCCATTATGTTTCATGAAGTTGCTGCCAACGTTGAATTAGTGAAAACTGAACCATTGCTCCTGGGGAAAGTACAGGGCTGGGTTCCTACAAGCCTCAGGTCACGATATTTTCATCAGTAAATCAATCCATAACTTTGTTGTATGTGGGTTTCTGTTTAAAGACATCTTGTTTAGCATATGTTGTTGATTCATTAACACTGAACTCGCAGCCAACAACACTACAACTCATGTCTGATCATTGTTTATTTAACAAACATATTTTCTCTGTAAAGCAGATCCCAGCCTTCTTGCACTTAGAAACACTAGACAGCACTTCAGCACCCTGCTTGGGGGACATCTAAACAGTGAAATCACCAACAAATACAAAAAGAAAAATGTGCCTCTCAAAAGATTGCAAAAGGACACTTGTTTATAGTATGAGAGCCAAAACAAGAAGGTAGTGTGTTGACTTGCTTGACCTCAGCTCAATGTATGCATTGGGTGATTTAAATGTTTTGCTGCATTGTGTATGTCTGAGAATGACCACAAAAGCACCGTAAGTATTAATTTTGAGGTTACAACTAAATTTTAGTGAGTAAGCTAATTTTCAGATTTGGAATTTGTGAATAATGAGAATTGACTATGTTTTTTATTAGTATGAATTATTGGGCTTGTAAAAATTATAAATTAGGAATTTATTTGCATTATTGAGAGGAAAAATATGTTCACCTCCATAAAGTGTCTGAAAATTTGTTATAAAATATGTTAATATAAAATGTTAAGCATAAGAGGTTGAGATAGTAACCAGAGAAAAATTATTTTTAATATGAAGGATTACATGACTATTACAACATATTACAAAAGCACAGCAATTAGCATATAGTAACCCATATACTCACTTAGAATAGGCAAGTCACCCAATAGGAAAAGTATAATAAAGATCCCAGAAACAGATTCACATATGTAGGAGGAGCCTAGTATAACAGAGAGTGGCATTAGGGAAAAGAGGAGATTATTTACTCAATAGTATTTAGAAAATTGACTCGCATGGGTAAAATTAGATGCCCAACCTCACATAACATATAAAGGTCAAGTGGAATAAGTGTTTTATTATTGAAATAAAGCTATAAAACCAATCAAAGAAAATGTAGATGCTTGTTGGAAAAAGAAAAGAAAATTTAATCCAAAGTGAGTAGAAGGAAAACATAATAAAGATAAAAATGGAAATAATGAAGTATAAAACAAAAAAAGAAAATAAAGCCCAAACCTAGGTACTTTGGGAAGTTAAAGTTAATAAACTTAAAAGAGTAAAAATTTCCATAAAATTAATAAACCTAAAAGGAAAAAAATTGGCCAGACTTGGTGGCTCAGTCTGTAATCTCACCACTTTGGGAGGCTGAGGCGAGTGGATTGCCTGAGCCCACGGCTTCGACCCACCCGGGCAACTTAACGAGACCTCGTCTCTACAATAAATAAAAAATTAGCCGGGCATGGTAGCGCACACCTGTAGTTCCAGTTACTTGGAAGGCTGAGGCAGAAGGATAGCCGGAGGCCAGCAGGTCAAGGCTGTGGTGGCCAGGAGAGTGCCACTGCACTCCAGTCTGGTTGACAGAGTGAGACTCCAACTCAAAAAAAAGGGGGGATGGGAGGAATTACCAATAACAGGAAAGAGAGAAGGGCTATCACAAGCAGTATAATAAAGGAGTAAGCATCATGTGGAACTGACTCTAACTGAATAAAGTGAAATCCTACTACATTTTTGAGGAAATTGCATTGCCAAAGAAGTCACAATGCCTTCTTATCCATGGCTTTTGGCCTTGAAGCAAACTTTAATCTCTCATACCTGCATGGGAAATAAGCTATAAGAGTTGAAGTCCCCAAGGAAGACACATTCTCCAAAATCTACTTTGTGTGCACAGGGAGGACAATGGTAGAAACAACCCAGATGACACAGTTTGGGCCCACACATGGCAGGGGATACCAAAAGTCCTCTTATGAAGTTGAACCACAGTTCAAATAAATCACTTCCTCTACTTCCAGCTCAGAGAATCTTCACAGTTGCTTGGCAGGAGTTGATCGTCACTATGAACCATGACTGCTGTCCCATGCTTTTATATTCTCCCCTTTTGTGAATGTGAATTTTTATTGCAGTTATCTTATTCCTATTCCACTACTAATTTTGGGTGTGGAGGAGGGGCAGACAACTTGGCAGATAATAAGAATCCCCATCTAATCTTGGATGCTGCAGTTGTATGAGGTATTTGCAAAGTCTCCTTTGAGGAGCGAGTCAATGTGTTATATGTGAAGACAAGAGCTCATGAATATTTGAGTGGCAGAAAGGCATACTGTGGCAGACACAGTTAGTTGTCTACCAATATCTATCCTCTTTTTTTTATGACATAGAACTCAGCTGGGTACCTACTTAGAGTAGCCTCCTTTGACGCTAGGTATTGTCACATGCCTGTTTGACCAATGGCAGGTGAGAAGAAATGTTTATCATTTCTGGGTCATGTCCTTTAAATATATATGTATATGTATTTCTCTTGCCTTTCTTTTCCTACTGCCTGGATACAGAAGTGATGTTGAGAGCCCAAGCAGCCATCTTGGACCAGAGATGGAAGACCTACCAGTCCTGTGCTGTTTGAGCTATTAGGTAAATAAAATAAATTTTGGTCCTTTTTACACTACAGTATTGGGGGGTGGGGGCATTTGGTATGGCAACTGAGATGGAAACTAATAATAAATCAATATAAAAATTAGTACCAGAACTAATGATTCCCTTTTGCCACGTTGAATGAGAATAAAGATTGTGTTAGAACTTTTATGTTGGCAGTGTGACAGGATGAACCAAGGAGCCCTAAGGGCATACTTGAGAAACTTTAGGTTAGTAATTCTGGATTTGTCTTTGTTTTGTTTTTTTATGCTGAACTGATCAGCAAGGTTTTGTCTGAATAAGGGAAGCTAAGTATGCCTAAAGAGGATTATAAAGGAGGAACTATTAGTGCCGGAAAATTAAAGGTCCATTTAAGATATTTTAATAGTAAGTGTAAAGTTACCCCATTTCAACTCTTTATTAAATTTTCTTAAATCAATATTATTTATGCTTTGGGAGTTGGATTTCATTTTTTTGGAGGGAATGATGGCAGGTTGAAATTAAGCTCAGGGAACAGCAAGAAGCCCAGGAGGGCTATGATACATTAAATGCTAATAGAAAATAAAGAGTGAGAGAGTACCAGAGGCCTAATTTATTAAATGTGTTGCCCTCAAAGCAAGAAGAGGGAGAAAGGGTGAAAAAAGAAGGACAGGGTCAAGGAAAATACATTTTTTGTTGTTGTTGTTTGGTTTTTTTTTTGAGTTGGAGTGTCACTTGGTCGCCCAGACTGGAGTGCAGTGGCCGCTCCCGGCCACCGCAGCCTCGACCCTCTGGGCTCCAGCAATCCTTCCGCCTCAGCCTTCCAAGTAGCTGGAATTACAGGCATGCGCTACCACGCCCGGCTGATTTTTTGATTTATTGTAGAGATGAGGTCTCGCTGCCCAGGCGGGTCTCGAACCCATGGGCTCAGGCAATCCACTCACCTCAGCCTCCCAAAGGCGTGGGATTACAGGCTGAGCCACCGAGCCCAGCTGAAAATACATTTTAACATTACAATTTTGGACAAGACAGGCCTTATTTACTTTTAACTGATGAAAGGAATTTTGTTATGTATTAATTTTGCCTTTTCATATTATTGCATCGCCTATGAAAAAAGGCAGTGTTTCTTTGCTTGAATTGTAAATATTTTTAACCCTTAAGATTTAATCATAAAGGAACTGGAATTATGAATTAGAGAATATCCCAGATCACCTATTAATAATTTGTGCCACCTACTAAACACATTTTCTAATAATATGTGTGGCTCTGGGAAGTTCATGAAATGAAAGGTATCAAGTGTATACTTTTATAAAGTTACTTTAAAACCTGGGGTCTAGAAACATTTTTCAAAAAGCTGTCCCTCGAATAAACACTACCTATCCACAGAGGATATTTCATGTTGCACAACTGAGTAAGCTTACTGCAGAAATCTTAATTTGTTTCATATCTCATCAGCTATCACACAAAATGTCTTCTGTGGTAGACAGGGAGATACACCTCCCAGATGTCCTTTTAAGGAAAGACCAATTGCCCCAGGTATCAGCAGTCAGCTTGCAGCTGACCAGCCCTTCAGGCTGGACCTCAGCTGCTCAGGGATTATCCTCCTCACATCCAAAGACCGAGATAAATGGGGCTATACAAGCCAAGTTATTTGGGTGCAATGTAGGACAGCAAAGGCTCTCTGTGAGGCTGACCAAGGCTTTGTCAGGCATGCATTGCAGTCTCACTCTTTCCTCTGTTCAATCTTACTTCTTCCCTTTTGCTTCCTTATATTATGGAGACACTGCATACTAAGCTCCATTTTAGTGTCTGCTTCCAGAAAACTCAACTTGATTGCCTAGGGTGCCAAGAGTAACCTTAGAAAGTCTGCAGAAAGATAGACCACTTGCCACCTGGCTGACAATGAAAACCTCTGTTTCTGTATCTATAGGGTTAAGATATTTAGTGAAGACAATCCTCAGTAAAATCTCCTTTTAAATTTTGCCTTGTCATGGCAGTCATACCAGCTGAAAAGTTGCTGTTGGCCTGGGGAAACTTCCTAGGCTAGTGAAAGGACTTTCTCAGTGACTGGTTCTCCAATTCAGGAGTGAAGAGAATTTGACACCAAGCCAATCTCTGAACCCAACAAGCTTCAATATTTTATGAAAAGCATTTTGCTTATTGAATTTCAATTGATTATAGGCTTTTGGCTTGTTTTCTTTTTTATGTTCCTATTTATGCCTTTACCCCTGGAAGCAATTTGGCAGGAAAATGATGTTTGTCTTACTGTATTTTACCCACAGTATATGGGTGAAGAAAGGAGTCATATTATTTTAGTACCTTATAGACGACTTATCAAGGGTTTTGAAATGAATAAAATTAATGCCATTACTAGTAGAAATAGTGGCAACTGTTACTCATGCAAACAAACAAATTCAAAATTATTTCCTGGCTTTGACAGCCCTTCTTTCAGCAAAAGCTCTTAGCAAAAATCAAAAGTTGGGAGTAAATTTAAAGTATTTAAAAGGATTATTCAAAAGCAGCATACCCAAAACGTTAAATCTAAAACATCTCTACAAAGTTCTAAGCTATATAACTATGTAAAGAAAGAAAACTTTTAAATCCCTGAAAATGAGGCCAAAAAAAAAAAGCTTTCTTTAAAATGAGAGACAGTATAATAAGTTAAATAGTGGTTCTTAAAGAGATATATTGAAGTCCTAATCCCTGGTACTTGTGAATGTGGCCTAATTTGACAAAATTGGTCCCCTGCAGATGTAATTAAATTAAAGCTCTTGATCCAATCATCTCATCTCACCCTAAATTCAGTGACTGTTATAACAGAAAGAAGAAGAAGACTTGAAACTCAGAGACACAGGAGGAAGGCAATGTAAAGACCGATGCAGAGATTGGAGTGATGTGTCTATAAGCCAAGAAACATCAAGGATTGCTGGAAGCCACCAGAAGCTGGAAGAGATACACAAAATGGATTCTCCTCCAGCAGCCCCAGAAGGAGCCAAACCTGCTGGCAACTTGATTTGGGACTTCTGGCCTCCATAACCGTGTGAGAATAAATTTCTTTTGTTTTATGACATCCAGTTTGTGGTAAATTGTTAAACAGACCTAGGAAACAAATATAGTGAGTAACTACTTACTTTCACAGTACCATGGGCTCCCCAGTGGTTGAGGTGAGTTTTGATGTCGAGCAGAGCCAAGTGTACATTGAAGAGCCTGCGTATTAATGTAGCAGGGGTCATCGAAGAGATCGACTCGACATGTGTGCTTCAGTAATGAAGAGTCTCGTTGGAATGAAATCTCTCTGTCATGGGCATTACCTGTAACAGTCAACGTATTATGTTTTTGCTTTGTAAATATTAAATAAAATTATGCTTGAGTTTAGATAGGAAGCTAAAAGCCATGCCGACTCTATACAAGGATTGAACATTACTTTTAGTTTTGACCAATAAAATTAATATAAGAACCAATCTTTAAAGGAAAGCCACTGTCTCGTTGGGCTCCCTTCCCCTCTCTGCCCTGCTCTGCAGCTGCTTCAATAGCAGATAGGAGACAAGCAGGAAGATCCACAGGAGCAACAGCCAAGGAAGGAAGAGGGCTGAATGTTTCAGCAAACAGCACGAACCCACACACAACACTGCTCAGGGTAGCCCAGGAATCAGGAAGACACACATATATCAAACATGAATATATAGAAATATACTCCTTTTCAAAAAAATTGATTAATTTAAAATTCCTACTTCCTATGATCTAAATTAATTGAGAAATAAATTAAATAAAGTTCTTAATAGTAGGAAGTCTAGCTTTTCTGCACGTCCAAAGTTTTCTTTTGCGAAGCTCAGTCTTGCACCAACTGCTGATGTTTAATTCCGTTATTCATTGAAAAGAACTCAGCCCTCAGGTTATCTTCTCTGCCCCTCTTATTCTGTCTGCTCTCCCTCCATTCTATTCTAGACATTGTAGCCAAAATAATAATTTTTTTGAAATTGCAAATCTGATCATATTTCTTGGAGGTTTAATACCTCTTCAGTTTCTTTCCATGTTCTTTATAAGCTGGAGGTCTGCTCTGTCTACCTAGCTGCCCTTCCATGAGGTCTCTTCCTCAGTCCCTACCTGGAGTCACACTGGCTTTCTCACAGTATGGTCTCCACTAAAAGGCTATCTCCTCTGCCTGACTTGCTCATCCCGCCCCTTCTTCATGACTTATCCTTCAGGTGTCAGCTTAAATATCTCATTCTTCAGGAGAGTCTTCTCTGACGTTCCAGACTAGACTAGGTCTCTCTGCTTTCCTAGTAGTTTACATTTAACCTTCCAAGTTGATATCTCCAGAGTAATTCTATTAGTTATGTTATTATTTGTTTAATGTCTGTACTGCATCTAGACTGCACATTTCATTAAGGCAAGGATCCCATCAGCCTTGCTCACAGCTGCAATTCCGGCACACACCTGGCATATCATAGGACATCAACAAATAGTTATTGAAGGCATGGAGATTAGCACCATATTTCACTGCCTTGTGACATGAAGTACTCTATACCATCCAGATGATTCTGTCCTAAGAATGCCAAGACAGAACATTTTTGCTTTTGTTTAGACAAGTACGTTTATAGCTTTAGCCACATGTGCTACAAGATCACCATGAGGCTGCACTTGAAGTAGTAACATTCCATTGCCTTACGATAAAACAACATCAATCCTTCTATTGCTTCAGTTCATTAAAGTCCTTCGATGTGGTCCAAGAAGGACCAGCCTCATATTAAATTCCACATCATGGTATATACTGCTATGATACTTGTAACTCATGGCATGGAAACCTTAGAGTATACCAAGTATGGGAAGCCCAGTCAGAAGATTATACAGTCTTACCCTGTTCCTCCATGACTCCTTATCTGTCAGCTGTTATATGTTGTCTTGTGTCATGCGTCACACACCATATGTGGGGTAACCTGAGAGAGGAGTGGGGTTTCTGTGGAGGGAGGGCTGACAGGGTCCCTGGATTGTCTGGTGTGTTTTGCAACATATAAGATAGTTTCCGTTTGCTTGGTTAAGTGAATTTATGAGTTATATTATCTAGCTTAAACTAAACTTATTTTCACAAATGGAAAGTGGCTAAAAGGTCACTGCAAATACATCAAGGATTAAAGATAATTATTTTACTCTTAGCACAAGCTCCTCCTGAGCTACATTAAAGCTTATAAACAAGCTTGATCTAATCAGATCAGAGCTTTGCCGCCTCAATGCTAAAAGTATCAAGATTTAAATGTAGATTTACATATGTTTTCTTTATCAATAAGTGCTCTAAATGAGATATTACCCAGTGATAGTATTTAGCTGCTGCAATTAGCAAGACTGAAGACAAAAATGTTTATCATCAGCTCTAACTTTAAAATTTTCTACATTAATCATTTATTTAGGAGTGCCTGCTCATAAAGTGAAATATGATCAAAAGTGCTTGCAAATGGCTAAGAGGTCAACTTTTAAATTCATACGAACCTGAGTTCAAATCCTTTTGGTATCGCTTACTACCCATTGACCTGGGTCAAGTTATTAACCTCTCTAAGACTCAGTTTTCATGTCTGTAAAATGTGGATTTCTAGTTTAAAATACTGTAGTCAGGATTAAGTGAAGTAATGTTAGTGAGATACTGAGAATGGTGCCTGCCTTATAGTAGGCATTCAATAAGTAGTTTCTGTTGATGCTCAGCTGTTACTCATTGATGCTGGGCCTGTGTACCTGATGCTTATCTTTTACTGCAGTATTCCCCTTCTCCTTTTCTTTACCTAATTTCTGTTTGTCCTGTAAGATTCTGCTCTGAAACCATCTCCTTCAGGAAGCCTTGTCCTGCGTCATTCACTACTCCGGGTTGGGTAAGGTGCTACTCCATAACATACTGCAAGTATCTGTTTACTTGTCCATCTTTCCCCTTGAGACTACAAATTTCTTGAGTCCTCAAGGAGAGACCAGAACCCATTTATTTGTGTATCTTCTGAATCTTTAGTGCCTGGTATGGAGCAGGTGCTCAAAAGAAAAATGTTTGTCAGCTGGTTGAAAAAACAACTGCATTACCATTTCCTTACTAGACTCTGGTGTGGCCATGTGCTCTTTGAGCTATGGTTGTTGCCATGTTTTCTGGCTTTTGACCCCTCCCTTACCTTGGGGAGGTGAATCTCCTCTTTTTCTCTCTCTCTCTTTCTAATTTACCTTTTAAATAAACTATATTTTCCAGTCTAAAAAGAAAAGAAAAGAAACAACTGCAAGTCTACTCAGTTTTCCTTTCCTAGCATATTTAATCCCACCATGTTCTGAATACTCTGAATCAACTGCACAGCTTGTTGACTCATGCCTCTCATGAAACACTAGGCTGAGCTGACAACATCAAGTTTATCATCCCACCGGATTATGTAAGAGCATCAGCATCTATGCCCAGTCTCTCTTGAAAACTGGCATCCTTTTTTCCAAATATGCCATCATATTTAAGTTGGCAATGTTGTCTTAAATTTTTTTAACAATTAAGTTGGCAATGTTGTCTTAAAATTTTTCGTTTGTGGGAATTTAACATCTTTTTGATAGCCCATCTCATTTGCAAATTTAAAATCATTCTAGGTAAAAGTGTGTGGTTCATGAGAGCTTAGCCACACATACCAGCTATTATGCATTCCAAAATTTCTGTTCCAAGTATTACTCCCAGTATCTACTCACCTGCCCAAGAAAAGATTGTGGCTGAAAATAAATACTTATGGAAGCGTAAACTAATACAGCCTCTGTGGAAAACAGTGTGGCAATTCCTAAAAGATCTAAAAATCAACCTTCCATATGACCCTGCAATCCCCCTACTAGGAATATACCTGGAGGAATTCAAATCACTCTATGAAAAAGAAAACCTGCACATGTATGTTTATTGCAGCATTTTTCACAATAGCAAGAACATGGAACCAACCATGCTACCCATTGAAAGAGGGCTGGATTAAAAAAAATTTGGTACATATACATGATGGAATATTACACAGCCATAAAGGACAAAATTATGAACTTTGCAGCAACTTGGATGCAATTAGAGGCTATAATACTGAGTCATCTATCACAGAAACAAAGAACTGAGTATCACATGTTCTCACTCATAAGGGTATCTTGAACAACTATCGTAATACTAAGAAAGGGATTGGCAGTAATGGGAAACATCAGGGGAAGGGGGGCACACCTCATCAACAAGGGCACCTGCATTATGAACATTTGTATACCTAATGCTGAATTGTACTTCACATCTTTAAAATTAAAAAAATTTAAAAAAGAAGATACTTATACAGTATACAAACTGCAAGTAAGAAAAATTTTAAGTGCAAGCCCTTAGGGTTTGTGGGAATTTAAATCTGTTTGATTAAACACATCAATATTTCCATTTTAACTTGAAGTTAGGGGAAACATTATTCTATTTTAATTATTTTTTTCCATAAGAGAATTTAGTATGAAGGATGGGAATCCTTTTTGTGTCTAGTGATATATACAATTAACTCTGTCAACAACCAAAACCCTACTGTAGTATTTATAATATACTGGAATTCAAGTTTTAAGTGAATATTTGAATAAATTAGTGTCTTGGGAGGAAAAAGTCAAGCCTCATAGAAAATATTTTTATAGGTGTCTCACAAATGTATGAATCTCTGGGAAACGCCATAGAAACCATGTATTTGCTATTCTAGCAACTACTATTAATTTGTTTTTTGGTCAAGAATTTCAGATCCCTTTTCAAATTTGTGCTCAAGTAGTCACAGGCAGGCCCCAAGGTAGAAACATCTGATTCATAGGTGTCTGGAGATGAAAGGACACTATAGTAGGAAACTCCCTGTCCCCACTATAGGAGGGACTTTTCTTATCATGGCTCCTGGAGCATGGGTTGAGTCCTTCTATCCCATCATGGTTATAGAGGCTAAGGTTTGGGGAGATGGTTTCTAAACATTATGGTTCTCCACTCGAACTCAGAATTTGCCTTTTTATGGAAACCATGTTGTAACTCAGTGATTTACAGGGGAAGAAAGGCTCTAACTAGAGGGCTTTTTTCAACTACAAACACCATCTCTCACCTTTCCGAGATTATGAAAGATTCCCAGTTATAATCATTGCCTTAGAGCCACCATTAAGGAAGGCAGTATGCAATAGAATTTTCTGTTGTAGCTGTCATCATAAAACATTCGTTTAAGCTCCAGTGTAGGCAATGGTGTGCTTGTCTAAGAGTTACGTATCATGGCTAAAGTTAATTCTATAAAAAAAATCCAGCTGGGCTCGGTGGTTCAGCCTGTAATCCCTCACTTTGGGAGACTGAGGTGAGTGGATTGCCTGAGCCCCCGCCTGGGCAATTTGGCGAGACCTCATCTCTACAATAAATCAAAAATTAGCCGGGCGTGGTAGCATACGCCTGTAGTTCCAGCTACTCGGAAGGCTGAGGCAGAAGGATCATCGGAGCCCAGGAGGTCGAGGCTGCGGTGGTCAAGAGCGGCCACTGCACTCCAGTCTGGGTGACAGAGTGAGTCTCCAACCCCCCCCCCCAAAATCCCAGGCTTCAAACAAGCTTTTATTACAAATTCTGTTGATGTGTTTGGATTTGCTTAACATGTGTAGGACATATATACCATGTAAGAATAAGGGGTTACATTGATTGTTGAAATGTGAAAGAAGAAATAAAACCAAGATAAGCAGAAACAATAAATTGGATCCCCTGACAAGATTATGCTTACAAAAAGAAAAGTCTTGAATAAGGTTGAACTTATACCTCCATATCCATTAATTCCCTCATAAAGTTATGCTTTCAGGGGAAAGTGCTTTAAAAATATTTTTTAAAAAATCAAGGTGAGAGCTCTTGGAAAAAAAAGAAGAGAAACCATGCTCCTTTTCTCTAGTGGTAGTATTGTGATTTAGCCCAATTAACATAATTCTAGAAATATCAAGAATTCTCATTCAGTGAGTTCCCCTAAGAAACTGGATGACTGAGGATAGGAGAATGTGGACATGATAACTGTTTAATAGAGCGGAGGGAGAGAAGCTGGAAAGGGAGGTATTTGGGCAGGGCTGAAAAGTGCAGAGTTCCTCAGGGCTCTGCCATAGGTTCGAGACTCATCTTTCTTTCTTTTCCCCATACTCTCTCTGTGCCAGTGACCTGGGAACTGGTCCTGGCACACTTAATTCTCCTGCTCACTTATTCTCTACATTCCCTTCTCTCCCCCACCCCAATCCTATTCCTTCTTCCTCCTCCCCCATCTCCCTTCTTCACCTCCCTCTCTGTGCCTGGACAACTCCCATTCATCTCTTGGCTTGGTAGTCACTTCTTTAGGGAGACCCTCTATAACTCCCTAGATGAAGTTAGGTTTCCCTATTCTTTGTTCCCACATCTTAGGCTTTGAAACACTCATCACATTTGTAAGTATTTAAGATGTGTCTTTCTGGCTAAGTTGCAAACTACACAAGTGCCAGTTTTGTCTCTCCCTAGCACCTAGCACAATGCCTGACCCACAGGAAGTCCTCAATAAACAGCCATTGTGAACTGTTGAATAAATGAAGAATATAGGAATGAGATAAAACAGGACATGGAGGTATTTTCAAGTGAACTTTAGCACAGGGAATAAATGGCTAAAATACTATAGGGCATGTATGGTATGTTCCTGACTATTAAATTCTTAGGTGAAGAATCTCCAGGGTGAGAAAAAGGAGGGAAGGTGGGCTGATATCTTCTAGAGACCACACATTTTAAAAGAGATGCATACTTACCATTAACTTTACTTGCTTAGTCATCTTATTAAAACTTAGTTTGGAATTTTAAATAACTTTAAAGAATAACATGGAATTTTAATTTCTATCTTTTTTTTTTTTTTTTTGAGTCAGAGTCTCACTCTGTCACCCAGGCTGGAGTGCAGTGGCACGCTACCGGCCACCGCAGCCTCGACCTGTTGGGCTCCGGCGATTCTTCTGCCTCAGCCTTCCAAGTAGCTGGAACTACAGATGCGCACTACCACGCCTGGGTAATTTTTTGATTTATTGTAGAGATGAGGTCTCTCCAAGAAGTCATGTTTTTAAAGATTTTAAAATATTGCCTTAGTTCACTATTCTTTTCTGCAGAATGGAGGAGGGTGGTAATCATAGCTATACCAAAAATAATAAATCCTCATGGATCCCAATTCTTTAAAAATAATAAATTAATAGATTACATTGGCATAATTCCATAAGAAATATAAAAGTATCCTTGGAAGTGACCACTCCAATGATGGCAAGTTCCTACTAATTTAATTTGCATCCTTAACTGTGGTTACCCAACTCTATTCTCCACTGCATTATTTATACTGTTCAGTCATCTCTCCCTCAAGGCTGCAAAACTTTTCTTCCCAAAGAAATAAGTACTTTTAACAACTCATAAGAATAATATGACTAACTAGCAGTTTAACTTGTTTTTGTTCAAATATATTTCCCATCTGATAGCTGATGGACTGCAATTGTGTTGTGGAAAAGTTCTGCCCAACATTAGTGATCACATGCAGTAATAAAACAGTTAATATCCTGGCAAGTATGGGGTGGACAAGCTCCTAATTGTGACTCTCACATTTCAAATATCCTTGTGTTCCCTTTGCCAAGCTGGAATAAAGGTTTTATCTTAATCCTAATGGATTTGGCAGGCATCAGTTTTCACATCAGTTTACTGACTAATCTTCTTTGAAGTGGAACTCCCTTGAGTTTTTATCAGAGAAAGCACCTTTCCAGGGAGAAAGTTTTCATGGTGTCAAAGCAGTAAAAGACTCCATAAAGCAAAACCATCAGCATGATGGATCTCACAAGAGCCAGGGAGAACCATGAACCTTCCTAGTGACACACATGCAGCATTTTGAGCCTCTGTGAGCAGTCTGCAGTCAAAGGATTATGCATTTAGTTAAATATACCTGACTTTTCCATGAAGTATTTAAGAGCAATGACCACACACATCTACAGGGCTTAAAAGGAATAAAGATGGCGGCAGATGGGGAAGGGCATTATACCTACCAATTGCCCTGCTTTGTTCTAAACAGTTCTCGTATACACTGCTGCACTTGGAGTTTCCAGGCTGTACAAACAACAAATTGTGAGAATTGTGAGACATTTACAAGCATCGTATACATTCATAAACTTAAAAAAAAAAAAAACCATGAATACTTCCAGGAGAATACAGCAGGCAACTTCACTTTCTGACACAGGAAATGTCTGACAGGCTAGAAAAGGAAACTTAGATTTTGGGTGAGGCGAACACACTCCTTTCATAGTTCATTGCTTTGGAGTTGCAGAGGTAGTTCTGATTGGGCTGGGGGGTCAGGTCCTAAAGGCTGCTAAGCCAGTGTCCTGTGTTCTTAGGGCTACTGCTCCTGCTTGGGAGGTCACATTCTAGTACTTAATCCAAGTCTCAGCCAGAGAGTGATTTTTAGGACACTAGTATAAACACTGGCCATGTAGCCAACCTCTATCTAACTTTGAATTAGTAGATTGGAGCCCTACTCTTCTGAGTTTTGTGCTAGGCTCACTTCTCATCCTTGAAAATCTCATCCAATCAAAGGGCTCAATCATACCTATACATAGAACTCTCTTTGGCAATGGAATGGGGATAAATAATGCCTTTAAGAAGGGCAGTGTCTTTAGAAAGATTATTCTGGCAGTACTGTACAGGAAGGTTTGAAGGAGTGAAACTGGAGACAGAAAGGGGGCTTTCCAAATCATCCAGGCAAGTGAAGACCAGAACTTAGAAGGTTAACAGTAGGAACTGAAAGTTTGGGTGAATTCAAAACATATTTTCACGGTAGAATCCTAGGTCTGGAAGGACTCCTAAAGTGCAAGAAAAACAAAAGACTGTGTATTAATGAAAGAGCGGCAGTGTTGTGAATAAACATGAGTAAATCAGTAGAGGAATTAAATTTGGAGTCAAGGAGAAAATAATGAGTTCAACCTTGATATAAATAAGTAATATAACACAATATGACATTACAGTTGGAGTGACAGATAAGGGCTGAAGACAGAGAAGGTGAAGGATGTGTGTACACTGGTGGTCTGCCAAAGGTGAGATAAGGACCAAGGGCAGAGCCTTGGAGAGTGCTTACATGGTGGTGAGGCAGGGTTTGGATTTTCAGGGGAGGAAGTAAAAATATGACATAAAAAGAAAAGATGCACAAAAAAAAAAAAAGAAAAGAAAAGATGTAACTTATTTTGAAATGTATCAAAAATAAAATGAATCAATGGATGATAATTAGCTACATATGTGATAGAACAAATATAGTAAAATGTCAATTGTAGAATCTAGATGTCAAGTATGTGACTGTTCACTGTATAATTCTTTTAACTGTTCTGCATGTTATAATAACATTTGTATATCTAACCCTGAATTGTACCCCACATCTTCAAAATAAAAAAACTGTAAAAAGAAAATATTCATAATAAAATATTGGAAAACATGAAAGAAAGAAAGAAAAGTCACAACTAGAGATGTGGAAAGAGAATAACAAGACAGAAATGTTTTGGAAGCTTACAGAAGAGGTCTCAAAAAAGAAGAGGCAGCCAACAGGAGTCAAATGTCATAAACAGCTGCAGAATACTGAGGAAGGAAAGAGATTTATCAAAAACCACTGGTGACCATTGTAAAAGTTATGTCTATCACATTGTCAAGTAGAATTCAGAACTTCATGTACACAGCAGAAGTTAATACTAAGACAGAGACAATGTTTTCTAGAAGTTTGTGGGTGAAAAGATGAGAAGGAGGTAGGACATTATTAGTTGAGTTGGAGTCCAAGTTTATTTGCAGGCAGAAAGAAAACTGATGAGAAAAAAGATGGGGACAGAGGTTAATGGACAGAACAAGGGCATAGAGTTGTCAGGAGGAGACTGGATCATAACACAGAGAAGAAATTAGCTTTGGAGACAGTTGCTGAGGAAAAGAATCAAGGAGAGCATAGGAAGACCTGGAGACTAGGAAGGGTGAAGTTGAGGATAACGCTAGTCTTCCCAGTGAAGAAAGATATGAGGTCATCTGCTGAGGCTGCGATAGGGGGATGAGGAGTACAGGCTGGGACAGTGACTCATTCTCTGGCTCTGTATTTGAGGAAGACAGGACTTTCTCTAACCCAGCATTTGGAAACTGTCAAATGAGTGCTCTAGTGATAAGAGCAGAATCCAATTGCTGGTTCCAATTACAAGAAAACATTACTTACCAAATAGCACAACTTTTCACACCGTATGGGGCAGTAAGTCATTTGTTCTGTGGCTTGAACTTTGATCCGCACGTCTGAAACACCACCTACAGGTGGCTGTTTCCCTGGAATTTCATTATAATACTCATGATCTTCTCGCTCCTCGGCATGGCCATCAATATGCACCTCCTCACTGTAAGGGAAAAAAGAATTCCCTAGATACTGGGCGAGAATTCAAATGCTGTGGGGGATGCAAAGGGATCAGAACCAAGAAAATCATTCTAAACAACTTTACATTCATGTCTTAAGTTCATAGCTGTGAATAAGTGATGTCAAACATCTGAATGGAGGCAACCAGATTTTTGAGTTGTTTAGCTTTCTGTAGACTAAGTAGGGTAAGCCAACAAAGGGTGATGCTTTTGTGTCTCCCCCTGTGATTAAAAAAATAACAACAGTATATGAACTACCTAAATGTTAAGGCATTTTTGTTATTAGATCATACAAAATATAAAGTATCCCCGGGTATCTCCAGCATGCTTTGATTGTTCCATTTTAGACATTTTTTTGCTCAGAGAAAATTTAGATAATATTTTTTTGGTAGAGGGCCTATCCCAGTTTATTAAACTAAGTTGAAAAAAACAAGAGAGCTATAGCCAGCTATCTTGTCTGCACAAATCTGGAGTATATGGGATTAATAAAGAAATATTAGAACCATATGTGGCAAGTGGGCAGATTTATGTAAACATGTAATTGTTTTTGAAGTTGAAATAGTGGGAGAAAAATCGACTTCTTCCAAATTGGAATTAGTATAAGTTTTTTATATAAAAAATAAATCAAGTTTTTTGGATTGAACTTATTCCATTGACAACCCACACAATTTTGTTGGGTTCATTACATGTCAACAAAATGATAGCACTAAGATGTAAGTGCTGTCCTGGGAAAAATTCAGCATCAAGACCTTCTGGTCACATCCTCTCCTTGTTACCCGAGACCACCTCATAAAAGGAGATTTCCAAATCCAGTGTTTGTTGATACACAAAGTGACATATTAGGGAAGAATGCTTAAAAAGTGCCCAAGAGTTGCTTCTCAGTCATGAATTGTCTGAGCCAAACACATCACGCATTCCACAGGCCTGAAAGTCTTTGGCTTTCATTACAGACTTTCTGTGCCCTAGACAGAACAACCAGATCCTTGGGTCATGTTGTGTTCCACACTGCCACAGTTTAGCTGGAGCTGATCTATTTACATTGCAAACCAGCTAACAGGAAATCCTGCTAGAGATATTTGCTTCTCATTATTTTGCTCTCTGTTCTTGATTTTTTTTTAAAAAAATGATATGTGAGGGATCAGGATTGAAGCAAATCTGAGAAATTCGTTGATGTTTATTATTTTATGATTCCACTTAAAGAATTCATAGTTCTGTGTAACACTAGACAAACTGATCCCTTCTTGTAGTATCTCTTTTAATCCTATTACAAAGCAAGAGGAAATACCTGGACAAATATAAAAGGAAGAAAAATACTGTTTTCTTACTGAAACTGTACCTATTTGTAAAAAAAAAAAAAATTACTAATTTCATTAGTCTATTTTAAAACACCATATTAACTTAAAAATACATATATATGTGTATATATATATATATGTACACATGCATATATCATGTCAAATAATTGTAGAACTCTTTGCTGACCTTTCACAAGAAGTGTTCAAAGAAGGATTTTTCAAGTACTGTTTAAACCGGAGTTCAAAAGCCTGCCCTATGGTACTTATCACGTCTTGGGCCATTCCATTGCGGCATTCCAGTATGTGACAGGCTACAAGAAGATACAAAAAATTATAATAATTTTTCAGTAAGAGTAGATAATATAAAGTCAAAATAGTTCCAAAACTTGAGCTGATAATGGGATCAAAGGAACCAGGTTTACAAACTCTCTTTGGCATTTAAATGGTATAAAGAATATATTTCATATGAATAAAAGAGAAGAAACATTCCAAATTTGCATCAAAATATCTCAAAATACAAATGTTGATCTCAAGACAGGTATTTTGGGACCATTTTTTTTTTTTTTTTTTTTGAGTTGGAGTCTCACTCTGTAGCCCAGACTGGAGTGCAGTGGCCGCTCCCGGCCACCGCAACCTCGACCTGCGGGGCTCCGGCGATCCTTCCGCCTCGGCCTTCCAAGCAGCTGGAACTACAGGCACGCACAACCACGTCCGGCTAATTTTTTTTTGATTTATTGTAGAGATGAGGTCTCGCCAACTTGCCCACGCGGATCTCCAACCCGCGGGCTCAGGCAATCCACTCACCTCAGCCTCCCAAAGCGCGGGATTACAGGCTGAGCCAACGAGCCCGGCTGGGACCACATTTTTATAAAAGTAGACTGGTAGACTAATAATGTGACTGATGTTTAGTGCTAACTCTTGAATTCAATGCAGAAGATGCTCAGGGTAGCAGTCTGATGGGAAGATGAGGTCTGAGGTTTCATCTTTGTAGGGTACATTACAGAAGACTGAAAACAGATAACTTTCCAAACCCCTCCCATAAGTGACGAAAGAGCTGCTGGTGAAGACTGGGGCTTTGGAATAACCTCTCCTCTTTGAAATACTCTCTCCTCCAGTCACCCCTTTGCTCTGTCACTGCTACTATAAAGCAGTGAAGACTATGGCAATCCTCATCTTCAAATCTCACTAAATAACTATCTCCATTAGGCATCAAAATCAAGATTTGGTGAAGGTGTCATTACCAGAAGACAGTAGAATTTTTATTAAATACGTTCTCAGTTACAGGGAAGGGGCTACATTTCAAACGTAAAGTAAACAAGTTGTTGGAGGGGGTGGAGACAAGCAGCTGACAATATCACAACTAAGTGAGTTAGCAAATCGGCTGCTGCTACCTAAAACAGGAGCTTGTACTTAGGGGCTAAAAATTAATCTCTCCACCATATATAATATGCTTGCCTTGGTTAGAGTATGGTCTTACCAGATAAAGATTTAACTGACTGAAGTTTCATGAGGATGACTTTAAAAGAATACTAAGGATGAATTAAAGATAGAGGCAAAACATCTCATGGCAGATTTCTAAAAAGGAACATTGGGAGAGCCTGGATAATTGAGAGACAAAGAAAAGTTTGATTGTGGTTTAATATACACAGAATGTTGTAAACATTTTCAGCTATTCTCTGAGAACAGGAAAGGAATAAAAAGTGATGGGCTTAAGGGAGCGTTTGAAGAATCAAATATCAGGGAAAGCATCTTGGATCTCAGAATTTTGAAACGGTGTTTCTTAGCTTTGTGTTGATAATCATCTCAAGGAATTTCAGATATTCTCATTCTAGAATTCATTTGATTTTTTTTTTTAATTCCATGTCTCTGTCACCCAGGCTGGAGTGCAGTGGTCCAGTCACAGCTCATTGTAGCCTTGACCTCCTAGGCTCAGGCAGATTGCCTTAGTCTCCCTAGTAGCGGGTACTACAGGCACATCCACCACTCTTGGCTATTTTGTTTTGCTTAATTTTTTGTAGGGATGGGGGACGCACTATGTTGCCCAAGCTGGTCCCGAACTCCTGGGCTCAAGCAATCCTCCTGCCTCGACCTCCCAACGTGCTGGGATTATAGGTGTGAGCCACCATGTCCAGCCAATCTTACTTTTCTTTAAAAAGATTTATGTCTGAACGCTTTCAGAAGGTATGTGTGTGTAGTGGTGGTGTGGTGGTATTACTAAATCAAACAATGCTAAAGTGTCAAATATCCAAAATAATTATTTTTAATTCTTTAGGGTTTTATCCCTTTAAAGTTCAACTTGGATCCCAAAATAGACTTGGAAGCTATTTCTAATTTTGAAAGCCCAATTAAGAATATCTATAACTGTAAACTTTTCTACCAAAGGAAAATATTTGTTCTGTCTTTGGACTGCCAGTTTATATTGTCTATTTTTCTCTACAGTACGTTTACATAGTGACCAACACATAGAAAGTGTTCTAAAAATATTTGTTGAATGAATAAATACTAATTTCCCCAAATCATATCAATATCTCTACTGTATAAAATTGTCTTTAATTTTTTTTGAAGTAGGACCTGAAGTGAGTCTCCAGAGTGGAGTATGTTCTCACTGCCAGTGGGTGATATAAATGATTGCTATGGTCATTTTTGGAAATAGTTTCTTTCTTCCTGGTCAGGCCTCATATCCTGAGACCTACAAAGTACCCTTGGAGATGTGTCCTTCAGTTGAGCCAAGATAAGATGTGTCACATTGTAAGCAAAGGTTAATTTACTAGTACCAGCTATGCAGGAGGCTAAGAAGGAATGACCGCTTGATGCCAGGCATGTGAGGCTGTAGTGTGCTATGAGTTCACCTATAAATAGCCACTGCACTCCAGTGTGGGCGACATAGTAAGACCCTTTCTTAAAAGACAGAAAGAAAGACAGGAAGAAAGGAAGGAAGGAAAGGGGAGGGAAGGGGAGGAAGAAAAAAAGCTTACATAATATTAAATATGGCTTAAATTATAAAATACCTCATAACACGAATATACTAGAAATCTAACCAAATAAATACTATGTTTTTTTAAAAGGTGATTCATTTGAATTATTTTGTGTTTTATCTCATAAATTCCTGTTCCAACTAAACATGAAATCAAAAGGACTATAAAAAAGGAAGTAACAATTTTTGCAATTTTATTTTTTTCTTCGGGATGAGAAGATGCTGAGAGATACAGATGAGGAAGATAATGAGAGAAGCAGGAGATTCACGCATGCCTAAATAAATAAATAAACATAAGAGAAACCAAATTGTACTTCCAGTGAGAGGGAAAAGAGAATAATGACGTTTAAAAGAACTCTGTGAAAAGATTCAGATCTGAGTTCAAGTTCCAATTATGCTACCATCTGTGTGACCCTGAACAAGTTACTCTACGGCAAGGTTCTCAACTGCCAAGAAAATGCCCTGGGTGCTCCTGGAGTCCCCTTTTGCTTTCTAAAAACTCTATCCTATCTCTGTCACAGTAGCTTAAAACATTTGGGGATAGAGCAAGGTATATGGATACACTAGAATGAATGAATCAACCAAATACACCAACCAGCCTCTACCACTTCTAGAATACTTCTAAAAGGCTTTATTTATCTCAACTTTTCTAATTCTGATACTTTGAGATTTTGGCCCTGTTTTGGGCTGATGCTATCAACATAATTTTCTGCTTTGCTTAAAATAACCCTGTTACTGCCATACTACTTTTTTACTTTATTTTTATGCATTGTTTAAAGATGGAGTCTTGCTGTGTTGCCCAGGCTAATCTCAAACTCCTGGGATCAACTGATCCTTCCAACTCAGCCTCCTGAGTAGTTGGGGCGACAAGCACGCCATCACATCAACCCAACTTGAGAAGATTAGACGGAAAAAAATGAAAATATAGCAGTTCCTGTCTCTCTCCAGGAAAGAAGCAACACTGTACAAATAGACTGACCCTGTGCAGATGTTCTGCCTAGTCTCACCACCTTCAGGGAACACAGATATTTTGATAGTTCTATTGCTGCCATTTACAGACGTGCTGCTGTGAATATGGTCGTCTTTTTTAGGTTGGTCATGGTCCAGGGTAGAGGTGGGCCTTGAATTACATATAAATATGCCTAGTTATCAGTATTAGACTGTCTCTACAAGCTTAGCCAAGAATTGCCCAATCTTCAGCTAAAGGGGGCCGGGGGTGGGGAGCAAGTACCTATGCTTTTCAGTGATATGATAACTTTGCCACCAAGCCCTGAGCTTTGCACCTTACGTCTGGACTCAGATGCAGATCTGGGTTCTTTTCATCCCACCCTGTATCCAGATAGGACCTCAGTTTTACTGCATGAAGGGTTAAAAGAATCTGAGATATTTTCTTCTGTATATTTTATTTGGCTATTTAATTGGGTAGTAAATGATAACTATTCTTAAAGAATAACTGATCCTTTCTTTTCTAGTTTTATATTAGTTTTTAATAGACCAGTTTTTTGTTGTTGTTTTCTTTTTGCTATTAGAAAACTAGAAATTCAAAAATTCATCTTCTCAGGATAACCACCAGATGGTGCTGTGGGATTAAAGCAAGGAGTCCTTCATACTTAACGAAGACAAACTCAAAGGAAGCCGGAAGTCAGTCCATAGTTAACTAATGTCACAAGGACAGCAGTGTGTGTACTTTATAACCGTAAACATAAATATAAATACCTGGATTTATTTAAGTTGGTTTTACTTTTTTTCTAGCTTTCTTCAGAGACTTGGAAGCATAGCCTTCCTTTATTCAGGTAGTCCAGGTAAACTGGAGCCTCTTTACAGGCTAGATTCAGAAAAACGATTAAAACCTTCCTGGGCTGCTACTCATTTGGAGTAAGAGAATATGGATTTTCTCATTTACAGCAATTACAGGGGTAGGCTGTATTAGTCACTAAGTAAACTCAAAACACTCTTACTGGAACTTACATTCTCTACAGAAAAGGTCTTTTAAAAAATGAGGAGTTCACTAAAGGGTCCTAGCCAAGAAAGGAAAAATTAGCAATTGCCCTACCTGGAATGCCACTAGTGCTAAAGTGAATTAAGCAAAAGGGACAGTGGAAACACCCAGGATTATTAGAATGAAGTCTGGCCTCCCTGCCCATCTTCACTTCTGGTCAATCAAATCGTCTGCATCCCTGCAATCTGGCTCCTGGCTTTATTGGTCTACAGAAGTTGCACTTTCCCAGGGACCAATGGCCTGTTAATGGCTAGACTGAATGGCATTTTCCCACCTTCAGTTTCCCTTCATTTCTTTTCAGTGTGTGACCATCCATGATGTCTTCTCCAGGAGAAAAA